GCGTATGGCATATAATACACATGGTAGGCCTATTGAGCCACAATATAGACATCTTTTCCTAGGTAGACGGAATCTGGTTGAATCTCCACTAGCCCAAGATTAGGGGTCCGTCTCGTTGCTCTAGGATCAAACCAGTGTCATTTGAATATGACAGGATTAAGAGCTTTAGAACCATGAAATGAAAGTTCATAGATTTCCTCAATTCTTCCATAATATTGGACCTCATCAGTGCCTGGTGTTAAAACTCCGCTATTTTTGGTCTTTCGATTGGGCCGACTCTGCTCGTAGCATGTTGTTTGAAAGCGATATCCATTCACGTCGTAGCTGTTAAATGACTTGACCCTAATGGCACACCCTTTGCAACCTGTCTTAACTCGTCACTTATAGTAACATCAGTTTGGGCCTTCCATTTGAACCAAGAAATGAAATCGGGCCTCCCTGGTCCCGCACCCTTTGAAAGAAGGGTATCAGTTTCCTGCGGGGTTGGATCCCTTCGTCCTTGCCAGGTTTGACGAGTGAATTCCCTGTACCAAAGAGAAATAAGGGGTTTGGATGCGAAATAGTGTGACGGCGTATCGAAACAAGGGGGTTGAGAACTTACCCAATGAACGGCTGCACCTCGACAAGGTTGGTCAACACATACAGCATGATACTGCGCCACTCTTCATTTTTCAATTGCTTAGTGGTCGATGCACTTGCGCATCCGAGCTGCCCTTGGAAAAGGCTGAGCTTCGATTCATTTTTGCCAGCATTGTAACGAGGGGGTGGATTATGCACGCTAGGATGGAGGTTCGGTTTGTAGTATTTCTGTGTGAAGGTTCCCACCTCCTCCCTAACGGTTTCCTCTGCAATGGAAGCCTCAATTTTGGCCTTATTTCTACATTTTATTCGAACAGTCTTCAGACATCTCTCAATTGGATAGCACCACCGGGCCTGCACGAGCCCCCCCATACGTGCCTCATAGGGGAGGTGCACAATCAAATGCTGCATCGGCAAGAAGAAGCCGGGTGGAAAGATCTTCTCCAACTTACAGACCAACACAGGTGCCGCTTTTCCAAGTCACGAACGACGGACCGGTCAAGCTCCTTTGCACAAAGCTGGCAAAAGAAATAGCTCAACTCTGCAAGCACTTGCCATGTATGATCAGGGACATAGCCTCGAACCATCGCTGGAAGAAGCCGCTCAATCCAAATGTGGAAGTCATGACTCTTCATCCCGTTGACTCGCAGAGTGCCTAAGTTGACTCCCTCCTCCAGATTTTGTCAGATACCCATCGGAACATTAGCGTTTGGATCCATTGAAGTACTTCCCTCCTCTGATCCCTGGTCAAGACGAAATCGACCTTAGGCCGCCTCCATGTCTTGTTGCCTTTAGGAGGCTGCATCTCTTGCTTTGGTCTATCACATAACGTTGCCAGGTCCACTCTAGCCTTAGTGTTGTCCTTAGACTTTTCAGTGTCCATGAGTGTTCCCCAAAGTGCAAGGCGACATTCTTCTCGGTGTGCATTACATCGATGTTATGTGGCAGAAGAAGGTCATCGAAATAGGGGAGCCTCGTCAAGCCTGACTTATGTGTCCACATATGTTGCTCACCATATCCCACAAACCCACCATCTGGAGCGGACACGAGAGCATCTATCTACGCATGAACCTCGGCACCAGTCATCATCCGCGGTGGAGGGTCTGTCACTACGACACCTTTCATAAAGTTCTTAATGTCTTGTCTGAATGGATGCTCAGAAGGGAGGAATTGCCAATGTGCGTCGAACGACGAATACTTGCCACCCTTCCATAACCAGATGAACCTCAAAGCTTCCTTGCATACTGGGCATGGGAACTTCTTGTGAACACACCAACCGCTGAATAACCCATACGCCAGGAAGTCATGCATGGAGTACTGGTACCAAACATGCATTTTGAAGCTTGTCTTTGTAGCTCTGTCGTATGTCCATACCCCTACCTCCCAAGCATGGATCAATTCATCAATCACCGGCTTCATGAACACACCCATATTACTCCTCGGGTGTCCAGGAATTATCAACGACAAGAATATGTTATGTCGTTCAAAGGAGACACCGGGGGGGAGATTGAGGGGGATAACGAACACGGGCCAACATGTGTATGGGGCAGCCATCATTCCATAAGGATTGAACCCGTCTGTTGCCAACGCAACACGTACATTACGAGCCTCTCTAGCTTTTTCACGATATATGTCATCGAAGTGTTTCCATGCTTCATCATCGGCTGGATGCACCATCTTCTCCGGACTATACCGTTTTCTATTTTTGTGCCATGTCATCTGTTTCGCGGATTCCTTGTTCATGAATAGCTGTTGGATCCTCGATAGGAACGGAAGGCGCCGTATGATCTTCACTGGGACTGTCGTCTGACTCTTCAGACCATCACCAGAGTCTGTCTCCAGGGACTGTCGTATGATCTTCACTGGGACGTCCACATGTTCTTTCCAGAATAGGACGCACCCCTTCGGACAAGCATGTATCTGCTCATACGGCATCTTAAGTGTCCGAAGGAGCTTCTGTGAATCATACATGCTCTTTGGTAGAATGTGGCCCTCCGGAAGCAGGGTGCCAATCACGATCAACATCTTATTGAAGCCGTCTCGACTGATGTTTAACTCGGACTTCAACGCCATCAAGCGTCCAATGGTGTCAAGTTTAGATACCGAGGACCGATCGTAAAGGGGCTTCTGAGTAGAGTTCATCATCTCGTAGAAATCCTTTGTGGCTGCCTCCATCTCCTCCTTCTCGTGTTCGTCAACGCCGAGTGCTTGGTGAACATCATCTAACAAGTCTGGTACACCGGCATCATCATCAAAAGCTTCGATGCGTGGTCTCACCACCTCCTCTCTCGTACGATGGGCTTCACCATGGTAGATCCACCGGGTGTAGCCCGGCATATATCCATTCTTCACAAGATGTTTACCCATGTCGACCATGTTTATCCTTCTCCTGTTTGCACATTTGGAGCAGGGACACGGCTCTAGCAGATGTGATGACGAAGCCTTACCAAATGCCTTGTTCAAAAAAGCCTCGGTCTTGTGAAACCATTCATCTGTGTACCCCATGTGACTTTTCCAGCCCATGTACATCCACTGACGGTCATCCATCCTCTAAAATGCCAGCGAGTAATGCAACCATGAACTACATCTACATGACTTTCATACTGTCTAATAGGTGAGGATAGGTCCTAATCCCACCCATGGATGCATAGATGAGGTTAGTTACCATGGTTCCGCTCCTATCCCAGACATAATTTCGGCAGCACCTCCCGTTGTTCTCGCGATACACGTCCTGGCAGGGAGAGTGTGTATCTGGAGAACAACGGGGAGGTAATGCCGAAACCCTGTCTCGGATCGGAGCGGACCATGGAAACTAAACTCATCTACGCATCCACGGGCTGTCCAAATAACATGGACAATCTAAAAAAGATACGGCCGTAGATATGCAAAGATATGCATACCACCAACCGTATCTCTTTCGGACGGGAGATGCCTAACTTGGTTACGCGATCTACGACCAAGGTACACAAAAGAGGGGTTATACCTAGGGTGTCGGTGGAGTCAGGCTAGCGGGGCGGTGAAGAGTCGGTGCAGTGGCGAGGCGACGCGGTGCAGGCAGACCCGCAACGCCGAGGAAGACGATCGGTGTAGCCAAGGTGCTCCGGCTCCGCTCAGACAGTTCCTTCACCTGGATGAAAAACAAATAGATTTGGGTCAATTCTAAATTTTGGCAGCACCTCCCCTGCACGGGGAGGTTTCCAAAACCTGCAAAAAACAACGGCTCGAAGGCCGACAATCACAACGGCTCGAAGGCCGACAATCACAACGGCTCAAAGGTCGACAATCACAACGGCTCGAAGGCCGACAATCACAACGGCTCGAAGGCCGACAATCACAACGGCTCAAAGGCCGACTATCACAATGGCACATCATTATACCTTGGCGGCAGAGACGTCGACGAGACGGGAACACGGGGAAGATGGCGCCGGGAACGGAACGGGAAGGCAACCTCCTTCCTCCTTCTTCCTCCTTCCTCTCCTTCCTCCTTCCTCTCCCCATTCTTCCTCCTTCTGCACCGGTCGTTCGGTGGGGCGTGGCAGGGCGGGGAGCGGCGGGGCAACGGCCGGCAGGGCCGGGTGCGGCGCTCTTCGCCGGTCGCGGTGGCGGGAAGCGGGCGACGCGCGTGGCGCCGCAAATCGGCGGAGGGAGGTCGAGGGCGGGCTTGATGTCGGCGTCGTGGCATGCCAGCAGTCTGCGTGGCGGCGCGGGCGGGCGCCAGAGCGCGCTTGCGTCTGCAGCGGTCTTGAGGGTCGTCTGTGAGCACGCGGCGGCGAAGGGCAGAAGCAAGCGAAGCGGGCGGTGCGGTAGCGCGGGCAGGGCCCATTTTGATGTTAGGTCCTTTGCCGAGTGCCACGGGCCAAGACTTCAAAGAAAGGTTTTTTATTTAATTTTTAATTTTTTTTCTTTGTCGAGTGCCCCGCCTCGCACTCTCGGCAAGGAAGTCTTTTGCCGAAAGTGCCGAGGCAGGGCACTCGCAAAGAAAATAAATAAAAATTAAAAAAAATTAAAAAATTTTTTGTCGAGTGTCTTACGGCGACCACTGGGCAAAGCCTAACGGTGGGTGGCCGCCGTCACCTCGGTTAGACTTTGCCGAGTGTTTAGCTTTGCCGAGAGCCCAACACTCGGCAAAGGGAGGCTTTGCCGAGTGCTATCCTTTGCCGGCAAAGAAGGATATGCTGAGTGTTTGGATTTGCCGAGTGCGACACTCGATAAAATCTATCTTTGCCAAGTGCTCGATATTTGACACTCGACAAAGTAGGAAACACTCGACAAAGCCCCTCTTTCCCGTCAACCTCGCTCCTCCGATCCGATCACACGCACAAGCAGCAAGCAGCGACCACACCCCGCAGCATGGAGGTCTCGTCGTCCTCGGCGGCAGAGAGGTCCCCCACTATTTCCTCTGCCCGATCTCGCTGGAGGTCATGCGCGACCCGGTCACGCTCGCCACCGGCATCACCTACGACCGCGCCAGCATCGAGCGCTGGCTCTTCACCGACGGCCACGCCACCTGCCCCGTCACGCGCCGCGCGCTGGCGCCCGCCGAGATGGACGCCACGCCCAACCACACGCTGCGCCGCCTCATCCAGGCCTGGTGCGCCGCGCACCAGGTCGAGCGCTTCCCCACGCCGCGCCCGCCGCTCGACTCGTGCCGCGTCGCCGCGCTCCTCGACGAGGGCCGACACGGCGGGGACCGCCAGGCGGCCGCCGCGCTCAGGGAGATCAAAGCCGTCGTCGCCGAGAGCTAGCGCAACAGGCGCTGCGTCGAGGCCACGCCGGGCGCCGTCGACTTCCTCGCCTCGCTCGTCGCCAAGCACTCCTCCACGTCTAACGACTCTTCATCCAAGCGTGCCAGCGGCCAGCAAGACGCCGCCGACGACGACTTCGTGCTGGATTCTCCGACCTCCACGAGCTCGCCGGCGGAGGACGCGCTCGGCGTCCTCTACTCGCTCCAGCCCTCTGAGCGGAGCCTTGCCCAGATCATGGAACGGGACGGAGACTTCCTCGACGCGCTGGCGTCCGTCCTTCGCCGCCCGAGCTACAGGTCGCGCGCCTACGGCATCCTTCTCCTCAAGGCGATGACGGCGGTCTTGACGCCGGCGCGGCTCATGACGGTGAGCGCCAGCCTGGTGCAGGAGGTGGTGCGCGTGGTCTCGGACCGGGTGTCCTCCAAGGCTGTCCGGGCGGCGCTGCGCGTGCTGTGCCGCCTCTGCCCGTGGGGCCGGAACCGCGTGAAGGCCGTCGAGGCCGGCGCCGTGGCCGCGCTGGTCGACCTGCTCCTCGACGAGGGCGGCGGCCGCGTCTCCGACCTAGCCGTCGTGGCCATCGACCACCTCTGCGGCTGCGCGGAGGGCGGTCGGAGCTTGTCGCGCACTCGGCGGGGCTGGCCGTCGTGTCCAAGAAGGTCATGCGGGTGTCCGTAGTCGCCACCGAGAGAGCCGTGCGCGCGCTCCACACCGTGGCCAAGCACTCGCCGACGCCCTCGGTGCTGCAGGAGATGCTCGCCGTCGGTGTGGTGGAAAAACTGCTGCTGGTGCTGCAGGTCAATGCCGGCGAGAGGGCCGGTCTCAGGGCAAAGGAGATGCTAAAGACACACGCTAGGGTTTGGAAGGACTCGCCATGCCTCCAAACATACCTGAGGGATTCTTACCCTTGCTAGCTGATAGCCTGATACACAATATACTATATATCATGTACATTACATTGACATTTGTATCCAAAAGGACCACACATTTTGATTCTCCTTTTAAATTTGTTGCTAAATCATTTTAGTTGGTACATGTACAAATTCTTTCATATTTCAAAAAAGAAGAAGAATGTAACGTCCTTTAGAGAGACATTATACTCTCCAAAGTAGAAAATGTATCTATTATTCTTTGTAGGTCCTTTAGATAGTGTACATTTGAAATAAATCAAAAGCTGTACATTCTTGATTCAATTTCATTTTATGTGTTAATTGTATAATATTAGTTCTAGCTATTTTGCAACTATGTCGGGCATTTTAGTAGTAGGCAATAAATCCGTCGACATCGAGACGTCTATGGTAATTTCATCAACTTCAGGATCCCCTGGCTTGGTCTCTCTAGGGTTGTACGTGTATATAAGTGTCTTCGCATATACAAAGATTTGCAAAAAAAAAAAAGAAGAGAAAGATGGGCATTATATAATATCAGGTCGAAATTATGTTATCCCATTGGTTATCCTTAACCAAAATTACTTTTGATATTTACTTAGAATTGTATCTTAATTAGAATTGAAGCTTTAGTCCTTTATGAAATTTGTGAACAAACATTATGTGTAAATGGTTCAACAGCAATACTATCTCCAATCCAAAATTATAAAATATTTTGGCTTTTCTAAATTCATGGCTTTTGTTATGCACTTTCAGGTCTATTTCACCCTTACTTTTTTTTGGAGGCTGCTACCTGTATCTACACAACACTCAGATCGATTCGGTGGCAGGATCCTGCTGCCATTGATCAGTAAGCCAACAGTATTAAATTATTCGAGTTTATGACAGTTTGATTTGCTTTCGTTTGATGGCTGCAAAATACCACCTGAATGACAAAGGTGCACGTTTCACTTGATTTCTCTCGCAGCCATTGTCGTCGCTTCTAGATGACTTTAAGCAGCTAGCTGCACACACACACCGTAGCAAGACATCAGAGCATGCATAGATCATTTTAGCTACCATATAAGACTGTTTTTTCCTCAGGGAAAATGAATACAAGTCACACATGCTTGGCTCAATTGTGGATCAACCGAACATGCATGACTTTTCCTCAGGGAGAGAGAGGAAACAGCAGCGCTGAATGCCTCAATGACTCAATCTATCAGCTGCTCCCTGCTCCCATCCCTTTCTCTAGTTTCCATGGAAAATAGATTGCAAATGGGCTGAAACATATTGTAAATGGGCTGAAAACAGGCTAAAAATAGTAATCGTCGATGTTGGGCTATTATTAAATGGGCTGGGATGCCACGTCATCATCCATGTCATCGTCCACGTAAGCATCTATGATGACGTGGCAATGCATCCGTGACGATTATTTTCCATCATTGGAAATGGGCTTGGGCTAGGCTAGCTAGGCTTCGGGCTCTATTGTGACGGTTCAAGATCCTCACCGATTCCGTTAATCTGTGACAGTTTTCGGTAAACTGTCACGGGAGTTAATCCATGACGATATCTAAAACCATCACAAATGTTGCATAGTGGCGATTTTTTGTTGATCCGTGACGAAAATTTTTCATCACGGATTAACAGGTTTCAAATTTACAAGTTTGTCAGAAATGAAACAGCACAGCTGAACGCCTCAATCTGATTGTCTGAAAAAAAACAGAATGAAAGATATGCTTGTCTACATGTATGTGAAAATCGCACGTCAGATGCCATGCCATGCATGTTCTCCCGGCTGAGCGAGGTGCTAGTTTCTGCAAGTTCAACATTCATATGATGCACAGGTTACGAATAAATCAAACTTGATTGAAGAAGCTGCAAGCGACACAATTAGCTAATTGGTTCAAATTTCAAAACAAGGACCCGTTCAAACTAGAAATTAATTGGGACCAACTAGTGGAGAGGCATAGAAACAATAGTCAAATGCTTATCCATGTTATTACAGCCCACAGTTAATTTATGCTCGCAACGATGATAGATTGTAGCTAGGGTTGAAAACGGTCGGGAACGGTTGGGAAAACACCGTAACCATTCCCGCTCCTGCATTATATAACCGGGAACGGGAAAGCCGGACGAGAAAACGAATTCGATATTACGGGATATCGGGAACGGAATACTTCGATCGGGAACGTGTCGATTACGATCGGGAATCGATAACCCAAAAACGGGAACATCGATATACATGTAACCACTTAAAACTCAGTATTTTTGTTGAACCTCCAAATGTCTAGTTCGCCTGTTCGCCTGCCAACGTGCAAAAGGACCAGAAGAGAGCAAGCACACAGAAATCGTTGTTCGCCTGTTCCATGCTACTGGGCCGGTCCATCAGCAATTGCTGTGCTGGCCCAATTATTGTTGCGCAGCTATGGCCGTGGCCGCGCAGCAGAAGAATGAATGAGTGTTAGTTCGCGAGTGTTAGTACCACCTCGCTTCACTAGCAAAGCCGCAGTCCAAGGGAAGAGCATAAAAGGAGGGCCAGGGTGACCTTCAAAAGGCACACAGCATGGGAGGCCTTTAAAACGGGAATTTTCCGTGGGATTTTTCTGAACAAATACGGGATTCGTTAATTCGATTGGGAAATCACTCTAATTGATTTTGATCCTGGATTCGTCAAATTATTTTGGATTTCTTCCCGAATCTGTTTTATCCCGCGAAAATGATATTTGGTCGGGAAATACGGTATTCGGTGTCGGTCGGTACGGGAATTTCTCGTTTTCGCTTTCATCCTTAATTGTAGCTTGCTGAAATTTGGTTTATGCTGATTTGTTGTGAGAGAAAAATATTGTTCATTCGCTGAAAAGTACTGCTGAAATAGTGGTAAAGAACTGGATTGACTACTCGCCGTTCAACTTTGATGTTCAATCATAACCCCCCTGCATATTGCAACTCTGCTACAATATACAAACATGTAGGATCACACAAGCTATGAGCAATTTACTAGAGTATCTTTTGTCTCTCCGTCGGGAAAAGATCAAGAACCCCTCACAATCACCACGATCGGAGCCAGATACAATCACCAACCTCTATTTTGCGACCGGACGCGTCCGCTCCTGTACGACCGGACGCAGCACCTGAGTCCGATCATTCTCCAACTGCCACGCGTCACTATTGTTCCTCACGCTACCACGTCAGCGTACGTCAGTACTGATCGGACGCAGGCCCTGAGCGTCCGGTCGCTCTTCGCGTCAGCGTCCGGTCACGAGTGTGACCAGCGTTCGGTGCACTCTGTGAAACCCCGTCTTTTTGTACAGGGTGCCGATGACATCGTCGGACTGTCCGCCGGTGAAGTTTTGAACCCTTGCTCACAAGTGCTAAACACAATGTGTATCACCTTTGTGTATGTATGTTAGCATATTTTCATAAACATTTTCAATGGTGTTAGCACTCCACTATATCCTAAATGCATATGCAATGAGTTAGAGCATCTAATGGCACTTTGATAACCATATTTTGATACGAGTTTCACCCCTCTTAATAGTACGACTATCGAACCTAAACGTGATCACACTCGCTAAGTGTCTTGATAAAAAAAACAAAATGGCTTCTACCACTTAACCTTTGCCTTGAGCCTTTTGTTTTTCTCTTTCTTCTTTTCCAAGTCCAAACACTTGATCATCACCATGGCATCACCATCATCATGTCATGATCTTTATTTGTTTCACCACTTTGAACGTGCTACCTATCTCATGATCACTTTGATAAACTAGGTTAGCACTTAGGGTTTTATCAATTCACCAAAACCAAACTAGAGCTTTCAATGGCACGGCAGAACCACGCTGCCACGTCGTGCATGGTGGCGCGGTGAGGCCGCCACCGTGGCAGCAACCCGAGCCGCTAACCTCTAACGTGGCGGGCGCTGCCGCACGCGCAGATCAGGGTGTGGCAAGGCCTAGTATAGGCCCGCGACGTAGCCTTCCTCTTCCTCCTCTCTCCATTCCTTTCCTCTTTGTCCTCTATTTCATGCGCTGCCGCCTCCAGGCACCCATCACGCTCACCCCCGTCCCCTTCCTTGGGCCCTCCACTGCCGGTCGTGCCTCCATCCCTCCCACTCTCCCCATTCCCCTGCTCAGAGGGTGGGGTCAGCCCCTTGGTTGCCCGCGCCCCCTCCCTTGCTAGCCATCCATACGGGCACCGCTGACACCGGCTAGGCCACCGGCGGCCCTCTCTATCGTCTGGGTTGACCTCTAGAAAGTCCCCCGTCATTGCTAAGGTATTTCCCCCTGCAAGACCCTCAATTTCATGATATTGGTGATTAATTTTTGAATCAGCTGATTAGAGTTAGTGATTTAGTATAGTTAGGTAGTTAGGTTTTAGGATTTAGGTTGTATGTTGTAGTGTAGTTATGGTTTAGTGTTTGGTTAGGTAGTTAGGGTTTAGGTTTTTGTTAGTTGGGATTTTGGGTTTAGTGTTTGGTTGGGTAGTTAGGATTTAGTTAGTTTGTAGTAGTAATGGTAGTTAGTATAGATAGTATTTTTGTAGTGTTGGTACTTAGTTGTACGTGATACGACGATTTCGACGACTTGATGAAGTTTCCTCAAATGCTTTTGTAGATGGATTGTTGTGTCCGAGTTTTTTATGGAGGAAGTGTTAGGAAAGAGTATGTTTGAGGATATAGAAGAAGAATTAGAATGGTTTGATGAACCTCCTAGCTTCAGCGACCTTTGTGTCCATTTGAATGGAAAGTTTGGTGGTGATTTCACACTGAAGGAGAGGTTTGATAGTAGAAAGACTAGGGCACACTACGTCCTG